AGGCAGAGCCAGCTGTACCCGCCCCCTCCCCAGTCCGCTCCGCCAGTCAGCGCTGGCAGATCGGAGCGGGGAGAGGGGAATCCAGCCCTCCCCCTGTCACGGCAGAGAGCCGTGACAGGATCGAGAGGTGAGCGAACCTGGTATGTGTTCACTCACCTCCCGATCTACTGAGCCGACCTGTGACAGTCTCATTGTCACAGGTCGGCTAGAACTATGAGGTGAGTGGAAATCACTCATCTCATAGTTCTCCTTTAAATAAGTTGTTAAAAATATTCATATATACCCTCTAAATAAGGGCTTATTCAAAGCAGAGCAGCAGCTGCTGGAACGCACAGCAATTGCTCACTAACGTTCCCCCTTTGTTCTTGGACTATGATCCGGCCCCCAGCAATGTCTGAGGGACAGTGAACTGGCCCCATGTTTAAAAAGTTTGAGGACCCCTGAACTAGAGTGTCCTGCATACAAAGAAGATGTATTTTATGATCCACGGCTGTGGTAAGCTTCAACCTGCCATGTAGGAAAACACAACATTTGCTGCCAGAAATAACTGCAGGGCACTGTTCAAAGGAGTAACTGAATTTGCAATTTAACTGACAGCATAATAAACTCACAATGGAAAGTTTTTCAGTTGTTGTGTATCTGGCCAAAATCTCTCCTCGCTTGCAGGACCATGGTTCAAAGTCACTTCCTAAGTAGTCTTCCTTCTCACACTTTTTCCTGTTAGAACCCTAAACAGAAAAAAAACAAAAAAACTGCATATTCTGGTGCAATACAATAGCTAAAATACAATAGAAGGAATAGCATATTAAAAGTCAGGAGTCATGTTTGAGTTGATTATGCTCCATTCCCTCCCATTAGAAATCACAGGCCTTCAAAATATCAACGCTAGCGAGAGTCGCAGCCACGATCTGCAGCTGGCCACAAAACACTCCAGCATTTACCGTTGGTACCCTTGATCGCTTGTTAAAATGGCATTTTCAAACTTAAAGTAAAATCTATTTCTTGGAGTCCATTAACCCCTTAGTGACCGAGGCCTTTTTTCATTTTTTGTACCCATGATATAATCCACATTTTAGGCCTGAAAATTACTTCAACCCCCACACACATTTTCTTTAAACCGAGACCTTGTAGAATCAAATGTTAGCAGTTTAACATTTTTATGTTGCACGATATTAGCGTAACATATTATCAAACCCCAAAATGTAGTGAGAAATTCACTTAAAAGGCCCCAAAAACACAATGAAATACCCATTTTTTAAATAAAATATAAAATATGAGATTACAACAAGTAAATAGATACCCAATATGCCCAGGTTAAAAATTGTGTGTGTCCGTGAAACTGCGACAAAATTCAGTACACCAAAAAGTCCATAGATGACAATTTAAAAGCCCCTACAGGTCATCAGTTTAGAGATACGCATAAATATTGGCCCTAGAATTTTTGCTCTCACATCAGCGTGCGCGGCGATACCAAACATGTGTAGGACGATCGTCGTTTTCATACGGAGGCGCACCCGACGCATGTGTACGTGAAGAAGCGCGTGCTCGCGGGGGACTTTAACAAATATTTTTTTAAAATTATTTTTACATTTATTTAATTTAATATTAATTTTAAAAACTTTTTTTTTACTTTACTTTAATTGCCATCATGTAGGGGGGCTTACAAGCTCCCCATGTGATAGCATATTGGCAGTGACAGGTACTCTTTAAGGTGATGCTGGGGGTCCAAAAGACCCCTTGTGTCACTTTTACACTTGAAATAAGCTATTGAAGTGCAAATGGCACTTCAATAGCTTATTGCCTGGCTTCAGGAGCCCAGCACTGACAGCTATGGGTCCGAAAGTGATGTAATCTGCATCGCTCGTGGTCCCATACTACGAGGAGGGGATCGGCAAACAGAGTTTCGTTGATCTCCTCCCCAGCTTCCCCCGACACCAGAGAAGCTGGTCCCGGGCATGTAGGGGTAGGGGTAACGGGGTACGGGAAAAATGGCAGGGGTGTCGGGTGGGGTGACAGGCGGGGGTGACTAGCGCCTGATCGGTTCTCTTGTACAGCTGACAGTCAGCTTTACAAGTTTAAACAGAGTCTGTTTAAACGGGGCCGGTGCCAGTGACTTACTATGGACTTCACTGGTCACTAAGGGGTTAAGGGAGACTGTGAGGTGATACTGCCACCAAAAGATTGGACACTGGCAAACAAAAAACTGTGGACCAGCCCAGTATAACCCCTGCCACCCCCAGCATACCTCCATTTTGTAGCAAAGCAGTACCAAGAACATGATCATGAACACAGAGGGGTGGGACCTGGGTCCCTCAATGGACTAGTAGTACTAAGGGCTAGGCGTTGTTTATCTTCGTGCATTCTCTGCATGAAGATAAATACCGCCTAGCACCTTTCCATGTCACCCTGTCCCCAAATACATACCTCTAAATGCTTGTCACCTCTACTGGGTCGGGGGAAGATATTGTCGCTTCCTGAACTTCCTGGCCGTGGGGAGATGGTACTGAGGGCAGAGCCGCCATAGGCTCCTTTTGCTGTCAGACAGAATAAGCGGTGGAGGGAGTACGGGCATCGCTTGCTGCAGGTTGTAGGTCTGTGGACACACAAAGTTAGGTGCAGTCACGGCCCAGGGGCGTGCACGCATGTAGCCGGCCAGCTGAAGGAGACACCTACAACAAGTGTGGGGAAGCGGTTTGGGGGAACAACTGGAGCACATTCAAGAAAAGCAATTAAAATGAAGAAGTGCAAAATCATGTAAGTGTGGGTTTTCTCATCATAAAAAAACCCCAAAAGGTTTAATAGCACTTGAAGACCAGGTGGCAGCCCTGCAAATCTGGGAAAGAGTTGCTTGATGCTGAAAAGCCCAACAAGTGCTCACAGATCTAGTACAGTGTGCCTTGACAGGAAAAGATGGAACCCAATCATTAAAGTGTATCTAAACCCACAAGAGAAAAACCCTTATATAATGCAGCATTTGTTTTCTGTTCTTAGGCTTCATTTCCTTTACTTTTAACTGGTAAACCACCCAGTAAGACTGTTATTTTTCAACTTCATTAACAAAACAAGATTCCCAGCAAAAGTGGCAGCTAAAGGATTAAGACAACACTGACAGGAGTTCTTACAATGGTCAGCTTTAATTGATTTATGCAAAATCTAAACCCAAAAGGAATATAAAAAAACTGTCTGCAAATGCTTAAAGTGTAAAACTGGAGTTCAGCTTTAAATTACTCAAATTTGCTAGTGCATCTAACACTATCCTCTCCAAAGGCTGACAATGCTTCTGTCAAAGGCTGGCTACATTGCTCCTCCAAAGAGTGAAGCCACCCTAAAGCTGGCCATACGTCATCTATTTCCTTCATTCAACCTGCAGGCAGAACAAAGAACGCATTCCTCCATCAACTCTTAGGGGTGTTGATCGAGGAATCTCCAGCTGTCTTCACTGTATTCTGAAAGAGGCTGCCGGCCACTATCACAACACCAGAACAGAGCCAGCAGCTTTATTTGCTGTCCACTCGGTTCATTCAAGGCTCATTTCCCTTGCTGCGATCCCTCGCATTCTGAGCACAGTACAGTGCGATGAGCGCACGGGCTGGTGAGCCCTCAAAGATTTTCCTTCGATCAGCTGATTGAGGGATGCCAACTGTTTGAATTTAGGCCAGTTCATCAAGAATCAGGCAAAATTAGCATAGTGGATGGCCAGCTTAAGACAGGAAGTGTGTTACTGGCTGGATCACCAGATGAAAATATAGGAAAAGAAGCCTGAAGAAAACTAATGCATACACCACATTTAAGGATTGGTAAGCTGACATATATTACATTTTTGTTTTTGCATTTACATATGCATTAACACCATAAGCTTGAATAATGGTTTATTTGAGCCACAGTGAAATGGTGCATTGAGAAGCTGGTTTCCTTTTAGGAGGACCATCAGAAACAAACAAAATGAGAGCCAGTCTTTCTGACAGAAGCAGTGGCTGCAAGGAAAACTAGCACCGCAAAAACTACATTTTAAAGGAGATCTACCTCCATTGCCAAAAATAAACTGGATCCAGACAGAAGAAAGGTCCTACTTGAGATTTTTTTTAAAACTACCTTACGAAGGAAGAAAGTTCTGAGCCTTAACACTACCTTGTCCTTGTGCAAGACCAGAAAGGTTTTTTTGAAGAGTAAGCTCGCCAACTTAGAAACTCGCTTCATAGGAGGAGATCGCTACAATGAATGAAACCACGTGAGAGTGCAAAGGGGAAAATCCCTAATTGGTTTAAACGGTGGTGTAAGAGTGCCAAATGCTTGTTCAGGCCTGATTGCATAAAGGCCAGGATTTCTCCCATGGAGAATTTCCTGGGATGAAGCTTTTTGTCTCACACCTGAAGTATGCCTTTCATGTGCAGTGAGAGACCTTGAAGCAAGTTGACTGGTGGGTATCACCAATTAATAAGATGCCTTTGTCTCTCAGAACCTGGGCTTCAACAAACGTGCAGCTAAAGCTAGTAAACATAAGGCAAAGTGGCAAACAAACTGGCCCTCGAGACAGAAGAAACAGACAAATCTAGTCCACAGAGAGTACTCCAGGAGTCTGATTAGGTTGGACTATGAGATCTGCTTGGGATAGTGTGGCGCTACCCCATGGAGCCACCAGAGCATTCACTGATTCTGCTAGAGAAACCCGGTATTTGCAAAAAAACCTGTCCAGATTTTTGTTGCATTTGGAGTGCAGGAGGTCAACATCCAGCGTCCCCCACCTTTGACAAAGGTCCTGAACACCTCCGGGTGATGGAACCTTTCCTCGAAGTCCAGTAGCTGCCAGTCGAGAAAATCTGTCTGCCACATTTGCACAGCTGCAAATGGTGGACAAGGCTGCAAGGTGAAGTCCTGCCCAGAACAGGATCCTTCATACCTCTTTTGCTGCGGCAAGTCTTCTGGTTCCTTCCTGATTGTTCATGTACGCCACTGCTGTGGCTTTGTCCAACTGAATCCTGATCAGACAACCCTCCAGTTGGGGTGTCCAGCACAGCAGGGACAACCATATTGGCCAATTATCTACAGGGACTTCTGCGCTCGATTAATCTAAGAAAACTAGGCGTTTCTCCTTACAGCTGCTCACTTAAATTGGCTGCATGAGCCTGCATTAATATCATTCAAACTTGTGAAGCGGCGCCATCACCCAACAAGTAAACAAATATCTGCAAAAAACAAATATTATAGTGAACAATACTATTGAGAGAAAAGAAAAAAAAAATATGTATATATATATAATATTTTTCAAATATTTTCCAAATTAAATCTTCTAGTCAACTGTTTGTGGAAATCACAAGGTGATAATCTAAAAAAACTCCAAATGACTAATAAAGTAGCAAACGTGTCAGTGTGTAAAACACATAATTGAAACAAAGAGGGGAATTTATCAAAACTGGAGCAGACAAAATGTGGAACAGATTTACACTGCAGCCAATCAGATTCTCTCTCTCATTTTCAAATCTTACCTGGTCAAACTGAAGAGAGATGCTGATTGGTTGCCATAGGCAACTGCTCCAGATTCTGTTTGCTCCAGTTTTAATAAATTCTCCCCAAAGTGTCCATAAATTCATTTAACGCAGGCAGCTCTCTCAAAAAAAAAGTGTTGTCTTAGTCTTTCTTTGTGCGTCACTCTGCCCACTCTTGTAATTTCTTGTGTGTATTTTTTGCGGAAGTGCTCATAAAAAACACCAATAAATAAGCCTCTCACCTC